ACCACGTGTCAGGGGCGGAAAAATGGCCGCGGACCGCGTGTCAGGGGCGGAAAAATGGCCGCGGACCGTGTCACGGGAGGGAAAATGGCCGTGTATCCTGTTCGTACCTCGAGGCGGAGTTCGCAAACCGAAGCAAAATTTTGCGGCCGGAGCCGGTCGTAACCCGAAAAATTCGTTAACAGAAGCGTTCGTAACCCGAGGTTCCACTGTATTTTGTTTTACGGCATCTGAGTTCTACTCTGCACATTCTCGTCCCTTTGGGTTGGGAAAAAAGTGAATTCTGGAGTCAGGGCATGGAGGTTCTGGAGTGTTTCTGGTTACGTGGCCTATTTCTCCTGCCTTTGGCTTCACCACAGGGAGGTGTAGGCATTCACTGCTGATCCCTTCCTCCGCTCTCTGAGAAGAACCTCGATGCAATTTTAAATTTTGGACAAATGAAGATCACTTTGGGTGCTGTGTTTTACTGAGGCATGAATCCCTATTGCTGCGTTCCCTTAGGGCTAAGCAACAGAAAAAAGAGTAAGAATGAGTAAGACAAAGAAATTAAATGGATGAGGTTAAAAAATACCTAAATCTAATTCACACCATCAATCATTCAGCTCTCTCCATATGCTTCTATTCTGCAAGTCATCCGTGGTGCTTCCACACATAGCTTCACACGTTCCTTTTTGTTCCCTGAACTTCTCCTCTCTCTCTTTTTCAAGATCTCAAGCCCACCACGACTTCCTTGGTCTTCCCCTTCCTCTCGACCCATGTCCCCTCCCTTCCCCTATTTGTTTCGTGATATGATCCTCATTCATTCTATACAACTGATGCACTGAAAGCATCGATGAAACAATATACCGTTTTTATTCTATTTATTTTGTAGCACAGCTTTAATTCCACTCCTGTTAAAAGACTTGGAACATGGGACATCTTTGGGGACATGAAAGTTGTAGTGCCAGGTAGTCGATCTGACTCACTCTGACATGTGCACGCACACACTCACACCAGAGATATGTAAACTCTCACAAAACCTTCTCAATGAACTTAGTGCATCTGGACGAACAGGTGGCTTGCAATAACTAGGCTTAATATACTGTCAAGCAGGGAAATCAGAACAAAGTTCAAAAATAAAGAAATTCTGTTGCATATTATATACATTTATTTATATTTACCTATGTGTTATGGTTTGGTCTGCCTGGCCCTGCCCCTGTGATGCCAACCTGGAGTTGCAAGCCAAAGAAAGTGTTTGGCTGAGGGAGGGAACCACTCTCGGCCCCTCCCTGGTCTTTGCTTTTGCGGAAACAAAGTTAGACAACAGCACAGGCTTTTGAAAGACTTGCTCTACCACTGAGAAATTCCCATAAACATAGAGGAAGATTCTAGTCCTCATGGTTGAAAATGAAACACTGATTTCAACAAGAGCACGTCTGACTTTGGGTGCAGCTACATCAGCTTACCTGTCTGAAACAGGACTTTTCCCCAGCCCTCCCTGACAGTAGTACTGACGAATCCTGGGACTGTCTGAATATCACAGTGTCTTGCTCAAAAGCTGAGGATTCTTGCAAACCAGACGTGGAGAGAGAAATGTCTGTGCTACATTCAGAAAGTAAAACACAACCACGTGGGGTCCTGGAGGAATGGATTCCTCTTTGAAAGAAGAGCAGGTCATTTGGAACCCTAAGAAGCCCTGGGTGTATTCGAGGTGGATCTTGAGGACTAGAAACTTCCAAGCGCTATTGGCCCTCCCAACCAACCCCATGATATCCGGTTAGGAATAATAAAAAGAGATCCTTCTCGTGGCAATTCTACTGCAACGGATTCTGCCAAGCCAGGATTGCCTGCCTCGCTGGAAAAAACCCCAAGAGGCCGATCCAAGCTTCTCTGGAGCCCACGTGATTTCCCTAATCTTCCTCCTTCCCATTAACTTTACAAGATTAAACCAAGCACCTCTTAAAATTAATAAAACGGCAACGGTGGGTGATTAATGGAACGGGGGGATCATTCTCCAACCACGATGCCTGATTAGCCCCCCCCCCCACGTATTATATTCAGAAGCACACTCCAATTTTATAGGGGTTTGAGGTTTTTTAGGTATATTTTTTTGGACAGATTATCTAAGAGATTAGAGGATTAGCAAAACTGCGAGGAAGGCACGCTGGCCTCGGGCTCTGGACAGCGTGCGCTGCTTTTCTTAAGACACCATTACTAAGCGCTGTTGGAAAAGGCTGGACTTTCTGTCCCCTGAAAGGCGTTTCTGGCACCGTCCTCAGCCATGATCTCCAGCTTCCAAATTCCTCCGGTGCCGTGCAGAAAAATCACCCCCCCACACTTTTTTTAAAAAGTAGTTTTTAGTCATTTGAATGACATTTGCTTTAGAAATTACTTTCAAAGGCGAAGAGAATTCTGATGAAATTCTCACAGATGGAGGGCGATGTTCCTGCAAGGAGCTGAATGACACGATGGCCAACCGGTTTGTGTGCACGTCCTGTCTTTCGTGGTACAATCCTCTCTCCAGCAGTTTGCACTCTCATGGCTTTGCACACTTCTGTTCAATCCCAAGGGAAAACATTCGTGTAAAAGCTCCTCCCATTTGATTTTTTTTTTCACTCGTGATAGGACTGCCATGGCTGTTGAAGAATCAATTGCTCTGCTGACAGAATGGATGGAGAATTTCAAAAGATTATGAGGGTCCCCGCTCAATTTTCTGACTTTTCCCCTTCCGGTCAGGGAAAAACAAACAAATCTCTTTGCCAGGAATCTGAATATATCATTTTCAGAGGAATTTGAAAACTGGGCCAAGGACTGCCTGGGTGGAGAAGGCTGTATGTTGCTGACCCTCTCAGCATGCCTCTTCCTCAACCATGGCTGTGAAAATCCACACGCCTACCTTGTAGACCACTTAGAAAACTGCTGAGACAGGTGAGAGGGACAGAAATTATAAACACATTTTTCCTTTACAGATCACAACATGCAACTGGTGTAGCGGTGCAGGCGCTGGATTAGGAGGGGGAGACCCATGTTTGAGTCCCCCCTCAGCCACGAAACCTTCTGGGGGGCTTTAGGCCAATTTATGAAAGGCAGGTTATAAATTAAATAAATTGTCATATTGTCAGGTTCATTTTATGAAAATTCTGGGCCCCTAAGACAGGCTGTTGAGAAAAGCCCTGTGCACAGGTAAAATAAGGGGAAATGAACCATGTAGCCCCAGCGGGACTGCCTTTGAAGGCCATCTGCTGGGAGACTAGCGGGCTTCCTTGGGCAGTTGGTGGGCACTGGGAGAAGAAACTGTGGCACTGCTTATGTTCTTATGCTCTCATCAAATCACGAATAGTCTTTAATGGAGGAGGAGGAGGAGGAGGAGGAGGAGGAGGAATAGTCATCACTCAAGTACTGGCATTCTTGACAATCGTGCAGCACTGTCCCAGTTCATTAGAACAAGACTTGATAACTCAAAATTTCTGCTTTACCAGTTTGGTTCTTTTCTGCACTCCCTGATGGACTTCTCTTTTCCCATTCAATGCAAAAGTGGGCGACCTCAACTCCTGTCTTGCACCCTCCAGATTTTGTACCACCACATCTAGGTTGCAAAGCTACCAACGTATGGCAATGCATTTTCTTGCATTCTAAAAACAAGTAATCCATAAAATATAAACAAGCTATCAATAAAATGCATTAATGTGGTTGGGAGTCGGAAAGCCCCAACGTGAAAGAAATGGAAAGAAAAGAAAGAGAGAGAAAGAAAGGAGAGAGAAAGAGAGAAAGAGAAAAAGGAAGGAAGGAAGGAAGGAAGGAAGGAAGGAAGGAAGGAAGGAAGGAA